AGAGATGACAGCTCCTTGTGTGTTCCTGTCCCCTGAAGGCCTTCCCGTGGGACGAAACACAGAGTTGGGAGACGGTGACATTGATCATCTTGGCTCTGTGTAGGCCTAATCTAATGTGTATGCTTGTCTGTGTCTTGGTTTTTAACAAAAAAGTTGAAAAAGCTTATAGAATAAGGCCAAAAAATATTTTTATGCTTTTGTGTAATGTTTGTGTTTTAAGCTGTGCTATTATGAAAAAGTAAAAGAGCTATAAAAAAGTTCATAAAGGAAAAACATTACAGTAAGCTAAGCTTAATTTATTATTGGAGAAGGAAAAGTATTTTTTACACACTTAGTGTCGTTTCATGTACAGTGTTTTCTGAAGTCTACAGCAGTGTGCAGTCCTGTCCTAGGCCTTCACATTTACTCCCCACTCACTGACACTCGCTCGCCCCTCCCTCATGTTCTCTCCATCCCCATCCCCCCGCCCCACCACGCTCGCTCCCCACTGATTGAGTCTCAGGGTAATGTCCAGCCCCACAGGCTTCATTCATGGGAAGTGCCCTCCCTGTAAGGTTGTACCAGTTTTTATCTTTTGTATCTTATATTCACTGTCCCTTTTTTATGTTTCCATTCACAGATACTTACCACTGTGTTACTGTTGCCGGCAGTATTGAGTACAGTAACATGCTGTACAAGTTTGTAGCCTAGAAGCCAATGCTATACCATGCAGCCTAAGTGTGCAGTAGGCTATCCCACCTAGGTTCCTGCCGGTACACTCTAAGTACACTCCAGGATGTTCACACCAGGGTGAAATCGCCTGAAGACACGTTTCTCAGAACACATCCCTGTCGTTAAGTGACATGTGACTGTAATATAGCCACATGGCGTCACAATCACACTTTTACAGTCTCCATGTACTCCTGGAAGCCCATCAAGGGTAGTGTTGGAATGCTGCTTGCTATATTCATGAAGCAAATGGACTCTTTCCATGTGAGGTGTAGCACTGTATTACTCTGCTTTTAACAAAGGAATTTTCGAATCTCAAAATTATAATAAATTGGTTGGAACATTCTTGGATTAAAGAAAAGCAGTACTAATGAATTTATTTGCTGTGCATTCCAGCCCCATTAATCCTGATGAATTCATCCTGGCTTAACATATGGCATGCCTTCCTTTAGACTTTCAAGTTTAGCATTAACTGCTTTTATACCATGACAGGAGCAAGCGTCACTGCAGCAGGCTGCTGAATTCATGCCTAAGAAGCAGGAGAGCAGCATTCTTCCTGTTGAGCATATATTAAGCTTGGCTGTGTTCATTTCACTGGGCAAACTTTCAAGCAGTCATTCTCAAACTGTTTGATCTGGAACCCCCCTGACACCCTTAAAGAATATTGAGGACTCCAAGGAGCTTTACTTATGTGGGTTGTGTCTATCAATATTTATGAATTGGAAATTAAAATTTAGGCTGGATGCAGTGGCACACATAATCCCAGCACTTTGGGAGGCTGAGGCAGGTAGATTGCTTGAGCTTAGGAATTTGAGACCAACCTGGGCAATGTGGTGAAACCCTGTTTCTGCGAAAAATACAAAAATTAGCCAGGCTTCGTGGTGCACACCTGTAGTCCCAGCTATTTGGGAGGCTGATGTGGGAGGATCACCTGAATCCAGGGAGGTTGAGGCAGCAGTGAGCTGAGATCATGCCACTGCATTCTGTTACCTGAGTGCCAGAGTGAGACTCTGTCTTGAAAGAAGAAAAAGAAAGAAATTAAAGTTAAGAAATAAATGTCTTAATCTACCAAAAATAACAATAATGAACCCATTTTGTGTTAAGTAACTTTTTTTTTTTTTATGAAAAATAACTTTTCCAGAACAAAAAAATTCAGTGAGAAGAGTGGCATTGTTTTACATATTTACAAACCGCTTGAATGTTTAGCTTAATTTAAGGCAGCTGGATGTGTATATGTGCTTCTGCATTCCGTCAGTTTGGACATTTTGTTTTAAGTGGAAGTAGACAAAGAAAATATGGCTTCACAGGACTGTACCTAGGAAAGGAAGAACGCTTTAATGGCCTTTTCAGGTAATTGTGGATATTCTTTCTTGATACTACATTAAAACTCCACAGGCAATAGTGGTTCCACTGTGGAATCTGAAGCCAGTTCAGTAAGCACTTTATACTCTAAAATACATGGGTCTTATACTTCAAATCTGTCTTTCATGCATTTATGATTCTGTTTTACTGAATTACTGTTTTACTGAGTTACGTAGGTCTTACAAATGCTGGCACGTTTCATCATATATTTTTTTAAATAGAACATTTTTTAACGTCATCCCTAGTATCATCAGAAAATTCAGATTTTGGGGAGCTGCACACATCTTGGTGACGAATAAAAGTTTTCCGGAATTCCCATCTTTTTCTTGAAAGCTCAAATGTTACTGCTCGCAGCAAATGTTGTCAGTTGTTTCCCTTCTAGATTCTGCCTCTTTTTTTCCTAGAGTTATCTTTCTTTTTTTTTTTTTTTAATATATATATTTTATTGCGTTTTAGCTTTTGGGGTACATGTGAGAACATGCAAGATTGTTGCAAAGGTACACACATGGCAGTGTGGTTTGCTGCCTTCCTCCCCATCACCTGTATCTGGCATTTCTCCCCATGTTGTCCCTCCCCAACTCCCCATCCCCTGCTGTCCCTCCCCTAGTTCCCCCCACAGACCCCAGTGTATGATGCTCCCCTACCTGTGTCCATGTGTTCTCATTGTTAAACACCCGCCTATGAGTGAGAACATGCGGTATTTCATTTTCTGTTCCTGTGTCAGTTTGCTGAGAATGATGGTTTCCAGGAGTTAACTTTCTAAACTGCAAATCCCAGTCATGGCCGCCCTCCCTCTCCTCAAAAATAAAGTAGAGTTTCCTTGTCTTAGCCACAAGGACTCAGATGACTTTGACTCCAGCCCCCAACACTTGCCGTTTCCATTCTTTTCTCAAACCTCTACATTATTTTTTTAGTGGGTTAAAACAATGTAAATATATTATCTTAACAATTCTACAGGTTGGGAAGTCCAGATGGGCTCAAATCAAGGTATGGGCTGCAAGGAGGCACTCCCATCTGGGGCTACAGGGAAGAGAAGGGGAGGGGAGGACCTGTTTCTGGCCTCTCCCTGCTCCTTGAGGCTGCCTGCGTTGTTCCCTGGCTGGTGGTCCCTTGTTTTCAAAGCCAGCAGGGCTGATGGCGCCACCTCACATGGTGTCCCCCAATCACCGACTCTGCTATGCTCTATTCCATCTGGTAACGATCCTTGTGATCACTCCGGGCCCACCTTTCATTCCTCTGTATCCGAATTCTGCTGGCCTTATAACTCGACATGTTACAGTTCCCTGGGATTAGGATGTGGACATCTTTGCGGGCCATTGTTGCATCTGCATTTTTGCAGTCAATGCCTGCTTTCTGGAATGCTTCCTTTCTTCCCCGCTTCTCTGAATGGTAAGCTCATCCTCCAAACATCACTTCATCACTTCATTGCCAAAGCTTTTCCTGGTGTCCAACTACTTTATTTCCTGCCCCGACAGAGGGCAGTGTGTATGGCACCCATGCTGCAGTGGAGCACCAGGATACTGTGTCACAGCAGGGGCTGGGCTGTGAACCTGACTTTATCAACCTTCATTGTTCTCAGTGCTCTCACGGTACGTGATAGTGCATCAAGAAATAGCAACAATTGACAATTAGGGACATTTGATTGTGGGCTGTGTTTTAAATACTTTTGAATTAATGTTCAGTTCCTTTGGTGTGATCATGGCATTTGTTTAGTAAGACAGTGTCATTCTTAGCAGTTACTTTCCAACATATTTAGAGATCAGTTGTCAAGATGGCTATACCTTATCACAATGGTCATGAGGAAAGCATGTATTGGGCTAAAGACGGATAAAGCAAATATGGCAAAATGTTAAATATTGGGAAGTGTAGATAAAGAGTATTCATTCGACTTCTGTAGGTTTGACATTTTCAACATGGAAAGTGAAAAGGAATTAAATATCAATGTAGGATGAAATATCAAAGTATGAAAGATGACGTAGGTGGGAACAGAATAAGATTCCAATTGTGGGAAATCTGGTTTGCTGCTGTCTTAAGTTATAAAGATCTAGCTGTTGATTAGCATCGTTATGTGCATTTTTGGTATAATGATAATCTTGTCTGGGTTCATATTAGGTGCAAATCATGTTTCAGACAGCTTAATTAAACCTCTTCAGCTCCTGGGTGAGTGCAAGAATCTGTGCAGAGTGTAAATGGTAAGATTTAGAAAACAAAGAACTTTATATGCCGTGCGTCTGCTAGGTTCTTCCTAGCATGTCCTCAAGCTGTGTTCACACCAGGCACTCCCAGTCACTGGCCAGCACGATTCCACTCTAAGGTAACAAAAGTCCTGCATCCCAGATTTAGGATAACCTTCTGCCCATGCTGAGACTCTTGGTGTTATCAGCAGGCGTCTGCTCTGTGCTACCGTGGCATCTGTTAGTAGTACCCATAGAACTCCATCACCAGATGACCGATTGTACAGATTGGGGTCCAGGTGTTTCCAGAAGACACCAGCTAAGGTTTTCTGCCCCTGCAGACCTTGCTTGTCACTACAGGTGTCAGGAGTGGACTCCCTCCCCTTTGTGGCCCCTAACCGGGGCCTCAAAGCTTTTGCATGTCTACAGCCGTTCCCTAGATTTGTGGAAGGAGATTACCTGTGTGATGCTTTTATAGCTTCCTCTTTGAAATGTAAGAGTTAATTTCAGAGGTAAAGCAGTGGAATCTCTGGTGTGGAGGGCATCTGGCCTGGCTCCTCATCTTCTCCCTGAATTCCCCCGATGACATCCTGTGGTGGGCCCCCTTGCCGTCCACCCTATCTTCAGTCGCTGTGAAGGTGGCATGTGCTCCCTGCCCCAGGGCTGAGCTGAATCTGGTTTCCCTGTACCAGCCACAGACTTGGACATTCTGGGGTCGAAACTGAACATATCTGATGGCTCCTCCTTGCCTTTCAGGATCCCAGAACCTGCCTTGTATCTCTCCTGAGACATCTTTGCTGCAAGATCGAGACTGTCCTCTGGTGAGAAGCTGGTGAGGCCTCGCATCGTAGTCCAGGTATAGTCTGCCTGTCAGCATGACAGCCGCATGCTAGAATATGTTATTCTGTTTTGTGCTAGACTGTTATTCATTTAGACTCCTAGTTGTCTGTTGACTTTTTAAGTTAACTGAAAACTAAAACCCCCGGTTGTCTTCTGTTTTAGATTCCCAACTGCTGTACTTTTCAGACTCATGTGGCCACCCATTGACTCAGCAGAAAACAAGCTCATTTTTTTCACTTTAGTATGTTCCTTAAATTCCTGCATTTCCTTCAGTCCTATCCTATGGCTTCTTATCCCACGGCTGGCCAGGCCTTCCGTCCCTGAGGCCTGTTTCCCAGGGCAGGCTCTGGGGAAGGATCATCCTGGAGCTGTCCCACGTCATTCCTGGGCGGACATTGGGCGCTTTGTCTTGTGCTCTGTGCCACCTGGCTCCTGGGCACTGGTGTGCAGCATGGCAGCTATGATCCATCCCGCCGTGTTTCTGTCTGTGACTTCTGGAGGCTTTGCACTTCTCAAGGTCAAGGGCAGCTTCCAGTTTTCTTCCTGCCCCAGAACTTTTCATCTTGCCCCCATTCTTCTCACTCTTCTCCTTACTTTAACTTCTCTCCCTTTCACTTAGGAATTCTACTGTAACTTGTTCTTGGTTTAGGTGCTGTAACCATCTGCTGTAGGGCAGTGGTATTTCAGGGTGTTCTTTGCAGCTTGAGAGTTAATTCCAAGTGGGCATAAGAGCCAGGTGGGTCAGGGGGTCGGTCAAGGTTGGCCAGTGAGGCTGTCTGTCCCCTCTCTCTCTTTACGAGTAGCTTCATTTTTATCTGATTCTTCTTTTCGGGTTTGGCATAGGATGTAGTTTAGGAAAAAGAGTTCCACTATAAAATACTTCAAACTAACTGCTTGGTTATTTTTTAGTAAAATAAAAATGTTTACCGAGAATGGAAGCTTCATCATTATTGTTGCTATTTTATCACAAAAAAATAGAGGTAAAGCTTTTCAGTTGAGGGATAGTGTGTGTGTGTGTGTGTGTGTGTGTGTAATGAACCTCACCTGACTTCTCTCTCACTCTCTCACATTCTGACAGTCATTTGAGGCCATTCATATAGTTAATTCCAAGACTTTGGCTATATTAGGAATGCACACATACTCAGACTCAGCAGCCCACACTGAGTTCTTAATCAGAAGGACTTCTGGGGAATATAGCCAGTGACCTTTGCCACATGTAAGCAACTTTGAGCAGACTGCCTTGAAATGAGAATTAAGGAGGAAGGAGGGGCTGCCCATAAGCCTTAAGTGCCTGGGGAGGATTAGGCTATAAGTAAGCACCTTGTTTATGAGGCTGCTACAGCCTTGTAAATGTCAGAAACAAAAGTTCAGAATTACCAGGTGCACCTTCCCAAAGGCAGTAGGTAAAATTAACTGCCGGCCAGCAGGGAAGTGGGAGGACATTCAGCACAGGCCAGAAGCCACTGTGTGCTGGGGTGTGTGAGTCTTGAGTACCCTTTTCTTTCCGGTTCAGTTTAGGTGTTTAATTAGTAAAATAACTGAAATTAGAGTGAGTTCATTCTGCATTCTTCCTCCCGTCGCCCCAGTCAGATGTGTTTCTGCTGCCTTCACGGACTATTTCAGAACGTCTTCCGGTGTTACCTAACCCTGGGGCTGGGCGTTGACATCTGAGTGAATAGCCTAAGTCAGACTCTTTCACTTCTTGGGCTGCGCAGTGCAGTATCCAGGTGTGAGGGGAAGCCCTTGGGTGGTCTTGGGGCACAAGTCCCGAACCCTGTCTGAATCAGAGTTTATGGCTTACTAGGCACCGCCATGATGTCACCTTTTCCTGTTGAAGAGAATCAGGCCAGGTGCCACATGGTGACGTAGGTGGCACATCTCCTGGAGGCCTTTCAGCCTTGGCCACGCTTGTTGTTTATCACATTCTGTCGTCTCCCTTCTGTTCTGTTCCCTGTTGCTGTCTCAGTCTCTGCAAGGAGGGAGGACACATCATAGGTGTATCGTAGGTAGTTATTGCATGGATGGATCGTTGTGAACGGTTACTTGCTTGCTTCTTTCCAGACTCTGCACTCTGACGGCAGGGACAATGTATGGTCTCATCTTTATAGTTCCCATAACTCCCTATAACCATGGCCCAAGGCAGATCACCTAATTTTTAAAAAAGGAAATAACAGCTATTTAATGTATGCCATTTTCCAGGAGGAGAAAAATTACTTTCAAATCATTCAGCCTTCCAAAATAGCCGCAGGCAAAGGCATGGTTATCCCCACCACTGAAGCAGTGTATTAAAGGTGGCTGCTATGGTCTTAGCTCCCCAAGGATTCAGTGAGCCAGTGAACACCAGAGTGTTTGGACCATGTATCAGTCATCTCTTTCTCCAGCATAAAATAACACACAGCTTATTTTCTCAACATTTCTGTGGGCTGGGAATCAGAGCAGGAGTCGGGGCCTAGCTGGGGCCTGTGCTTGGGGTCTCACAGGGCTGCTGTCTGGATGCTGGCCCGGGCTTAGTTTTCATCTGGAGGCTTGACTGGAGAAATGTCGTCCTCCACGTTCCCTCAGGTGGTTGGCTGGATTCATGTTCTCTAGTTGTAAGACTGAGTCCTGGCCGCTTTTTTGCTGACATGGAGGCTGCTCTCAGCTCGCAGAGGCCACTCGCAGTTTCTGCCGGCTACCTGTATCTCCCGGAAGCCCCCTGCAGTTGGACGTCATCGGGGGCTTTCCCAGCATGGCTGCTTGCTTCATTGAGCCAGCCCAGCACAGGCTTTCCTTACTCCTTGAAAGGGGGAGTTGGAAAGTGTTTTCCATCTGCTATTGTTATAAGAAATTATTTCACTCCCTGCTTTTTTTCTGCATTTGTCCCTGATTTTAAACCTTCTACAGGATCGCGGCCCCACAGGACCCATTTTCCCTTGAAGCCAGCATGGGTGCCCTGAGTCATCACTGGCCCTGCTGGCTGGCAGGTGGCTCTGGAGTGCCCGGTCCTACTTTAGGAGTGAGGGGGCTAAATTGCTTTTTGTGAGCTGCCTTGGAACTTAACTGCACTTGTGTCATGTTATTTGTGTAGGAAAATGTGATCCTGGGTCTCAGATGACTGGCATGTCAGTGAACTTCCAGCTGGCAAGAGGTCCTTACCTCTTTTTCTGTGTGTGTGGTTTTTTTTTTTCTTGTGGCATTGGGGACTCTAGAGTAGGCGTCCTCAAACTTTTTACACAGGGGGCCAGTTCACTGTCCCTCAGACCGTTGGAGGGCCGCCACATACTGTGCTCCTCTCACTGACCACCAGTGAAAGAGGTGCCCCTTCCTGAAGTGCGGCGGGGGGCCGGATAAATGGCCTCAGGGGGCTGCATGCGGCCCGCGGGCCGTAGTTTGGGGACGCCTGCTATAGAGAATAGTGTCTGGGGCATATGTTAAATGTCTCAGCCTTTAAGAATTCCTTAAAAAACAATAGAAGTGGCTGGGCACAGTGGCTCACACCTGGAATCCCAAGACTTTGCAAGGCCTAGGTGGGTGGATCACTTGAAGTCAGGAGTTCAAGACTAGCCTGGCTAACATGGTGAAACCCCGTCTCTGCTAAAAATACAAAAATTAGCCAGGTGTGGTGATGCACACCTATAGTCCCAGCTGCTCGGGAGGCTGAAGTGGAAGGATTGCTTGAACCCTGGAGGCGGAGGCTGCAGTGAGCTGAGATGGTGCCCCTGCACTTCAGCCTGGCAACAGAGCAAGACTCTATCTCAGAAAACAAACAAACAAATGATAGATGTAATCTGTGCTTTCTCTTTCTCCTGATTCTCTGAAAATATGTGGAGTCTGACTGTCACAAAGCTGTAACCAAAAAATGAAGAATTTTGATTGTGCACGGTCTGGAACATTGAGCTGAACGTTGTCATATTGAGGGGCTGGCTCTGGGGTCAAGTTCGCGTGGCACTCCTGAGTGACGATCTGTGGTCATGTTATTGCTCTGGTGCCTTTCATGAAAGCAATGCTGGTGGCACTGCCTGTGGCGGATGATAAAATATAGACCACATGGTGTGCTGAAAGGGCCACTCCACCCTTCACCCCCTCTGGCACTCTCATATGGTGGGAAAGAATGGCCCTGGTCCCCATTACAAGCTGCCTTGTCCTTTGCTGGCTTCCTCCTGGTCCATGGGTGCTGTTTTCTCCCTGCCTTTGATCGTTCAGATGAGCAGTGTGCGCAATTGGCTATTTCTTTCCGGATGCCTGAAAGGAATTTCAGGCAAATTGAATTGCATTCTTTCCTCTGGTAGAGGCTTTTCTCTCAGCGCCCACTAGCTTATCTGTTCCACATAAAAAGAAGTGCTCCTCATTAGAAAAGTACAACCAGTACTTGTTGAAGACTAAAGACAGTCAAGGTGGCCAGCCAGGCCAAGAGACTGTGACGTTCTTTTCAGATTAGAAGTGTGTTCCTTCTGGAGTGAGTGTCTGAAATTCTGGTCACCAGTGAAAAAGTGTGCTTGTGAGTAGGGCAGGAAGACCTACCATAAAATGTGGCATTTCCTGGTGGGAATTACTTGTGCATGACATGTGCTGCGTAGATAATCCCCATGGTAACTACGGGCGTGTGTTTTATGTGTGTGTCAGGGCTCTTTGAGAATAAAACAGGGACTGGGGAACAAATAGCAGATAAATAGGAAAGGTCACAGCATTTGCTTACGCAAAGGTGTTGTATGAGTTGGATTAAAATATTACGCTGTAAAGCAAGCATATTGATTTGCTACCAAAAAGCAAGAGCAGACTGAACCTCAAGAACTTGGAAGTCCTCGTGCTCAGTTTTTTCCCTCCAATGTTTCTTACACAGACCAGATTAGTCTGCCCAAGATCACGTTTTGTGGATGTCCTTCCTTTGCTTAAAACTTTTGCTTTTAAATAAAGGTATAAATCCCTTAGCTGGCCACTCAAGACCCCTAAAGGGGCCACCCTGCCCTGCCTCTGCTCCAAGTCCCAGATCACAGGCCAGTGTGCCAGCCTTGCCCTGTTACTGGCATGCCACCTGTT